GAATTAGATTAAAATTAGAAATTTGAAATATTTGTTTTCTTTTAACTATTGACATTTAGTGTTTAATGTACCAATTTAGATTTTTAAAGAAGATCAACACAGACCGCAAATGAGTAGCTTGTTAAAAGGAAAAAAATTTCTTTTTTTTCCCTTCATCTGACTTATGAACCCATCTGTTAGGAGTAAATCTTAAAGATCCCAATGCCTCACATAAATATTCCTTAAAACCTCAAAAATCTTTTGCCCTAGGAAAAAAAAGGGACCTCACGGTCTTTCACGCGGCTCTGTTTTTTTCCGAATAATTTTAAATTTATGTGATAAACGTGAGTCACGTGTTTATGAGCCATAGGGACAAGAAGTGCCAGTCACATACAAAAAATAAAAAAAAAAAATGGGAAAGAGTCTCCTTTCCCTCCCTCCTTTTTGCGGAGTCTGATCATCAACCCCTCGTAATTGCCCGACAAAGTTACCCAACATCGATTGGCATTGACTAATAATAATCGCGCAATAAGAGAGAAAGACGAATCTCCCCTAGGGAAGAATTGACCATAAATACAAAAAAGAAAAAATGCTGAAAACATTTTTGTTGTCATTTTTAAATTTTTCTATAAAAATGAGTAAACTGTCAGTTTTTTATTAGAGTTGTAAAAATTCTTGGTAATTTAAAATTTGGTTAAAAATTTTTAATATTTCTATTTTCTTACAGCTTGATTTTCATACAGAATTTTGAATTTTTCCCTGATTCCTATAAAAAAAAATTCAAAGAGGGGTCAATTCTAAAAAAAAGATAATTTTTTGTTAACAAAAATTTGATTTAAAACTTTCAAGGTGTTTATCTATTTTAAAAATAAAATTAGTTACTGTGACAAATTTCCATCGATTATTTTTAAAAATTACAATAAAATTGGTTAAAAATTCAATTATTTTTAATATCATTTTTTGGAAATTTCAATTATTTTCATTGAAATCCAACTTTTCTCGATTATTTTCAAAAATTTTAGTTGTAATTCATAAAAAAATTCATATTAATTTTTAATAGAATTTTTTGTGAAATTTCAATTATTTTTCATAGAATTTTAATAAATTTGAATTGTTGCAAAAAAATTCAATTAAATTTAATTATAAAAATTCAATTATCTTTAAGAAAATAATTATACTTTCAATAGAATTTTTGAAAAATATGTATTATTTTTAATAGAATTTTAGTAAATTTCAATCATTTCAAAAATTTTACATTATTTGTTTATAAAAATTCAATTATCTTTAAAAAAATATAATTAAAATATTTTAATAAACTAATTTTTCGGAATTTTAAATAAAATTTTTCAAAATTTCTATTTTTTAAAAGAATTTTAAGTTTAATTCTTTTTAAAATTTACTGATTATAATAAAAATTTTAATTGTAACATTTTGCAATTATTTTTTCAATCATTTCAAAAAAATTTGTATTTTTTGTTTATAAACAAGAGCTTTTCATTTTCGATGAGAATATAAAATTCAATTATCTTTGAAAAATATAATTAAAATATCAGTCAATTATTTTCAAAAGTTGAAATAAAATTCTTTGAAAATTCAGTTACATTCAATAGAATGTTTAGAAATTTTCATTAAAATTAATGAAATTCCTAAATTTAGAAAATAATTTTAGGAAATTTTAATTATTTCAAAAATTTTCAATTAATTGTTTATAAGAATTCAATTATCAAAAATTCGATTATTATCAAAATTAGAATTAAAATACTTTTATCATATAATTTTTCTGAAATTTAAATAAACTTTTCTAAAATTTCAATTTTTTAAAAACATGTTAAATTATTTTTAATTCCATGAATATTAATATTTCCCAAAATTCCAATTAATATGATAAATTCTTAATAAATTTTTTTCTTAACCTTCAAATATCTAGGGAAAATAGTTTTAAAATTTCTCAGGAATCGAATATTTATTATTTCGAAAGTTGTAATAAAATTATTATCAAATTTCGGTGCGTTTTGTTCATGCAAAGAAATGATGGCTTCAATAACAATCTTGACTAGAAAAAGTTTTCGGCGTCAATGATTACAAGTCAGGTGTTAATTAATTAAAATTCAAAATGGTAGATCCAATATGGCGGATGTCAAAAGTAAAAATTGATCTCATTCGATTAAAACTTGTTACTCGGGGGTTTTCGGATCGCTGATTACGAATTTGATGTTAGTTTTACAAAATTCAAAATGGTGGATCCAATATGGCGGCTATCAAAAATAAAAATTGATCCCATTCGATTAAAACTTGTTTCTCGGGGGGTTTTCGGGGTCGCTGGTTACGAATTTGATGTTAGTTTTGCAAAATTCAAAATGCCAACACATTTTTTGTTCAAAATTGAAAATAAACAAAAATTTTTGAATCTAATTTTTCTCTATAAACAATTTGTCCGGTTATTGAACTCAAAGTTGGCTCATATAACGATTCGATTTCCCATTTGTACATCGTCAAGTCCCGAGGTTGTAATTGAAGGCTCACGAGTTCAGAGGTTAAGAGGAAAGAGTTGGCTCAATGAGTAGAGAGAGAGTGAGAGAGTGACGAGACGCACGTTTTCTTGTTATGTTCTTTTTTAACAAACACGTCGATCGCATTCAAAAAAACCACACACGGCGAGAAGAGAGAGAGAGAGAGAGAGAGAGCGTTTATATACACACAAGTCGACGTTTGCACTCGGATGCAACAACGTCGGGGGGCTTAAAAATAGCGTCACGTTAGGGTGACTATATGGCAGTTAACAAACGGTAAAACTAACACGGCCTCCTACAATAACATTTCACTTTGGTCACGTGTTTTCCGCGGGTCGCGACTATTATAAGATCGCCGTGTTCCTCGATCTTTGGCTCTCTGCGCTTTCTCTCGTTATTCCAGACTGCCATTCTTCCCCCTTCCCCTTTTTTTATAGAATGCCACTAAAACAATCACGAAACAAATTATTTAAGAGTCTGAATTATTTTAGTTGCGCGTCTCAATTCGTGTTCTGGATTCGAGAGGAAATATCTCCAATTTTTCTTCTTTCATTAATCTTTTTTTTTTTTTTTTTTTTTTTTTTTTTATTTTTATTTCCTACTGACAAAGAAGATTTGTCTTGGTGTGCTGGCATGATTTATTATTTTATGTTACACTTTTTTTTGGTCTTATTTAATTTTTATTGTTATTAATTGTAGTTTGGTCTCGTTATTCATTTTTCATGTTTTTTATTGTTGAGAGGGGGAAAATGTTTAGGTAATTTTTATTATTTTTACTACTTTTATATTTTTACTGCTTTACTATTTTTTTTACTTCTCTTCACTGTTGAAATATTATACAATATTTATAATAATAATTCCACTTTAATAAAATAAAATAAATTTCGAATTATTATTAAAAATATACATTTTCTCCTCTCCAACTGTCAGCTATTCGAAAAATTTAATTAACTTTATTTTAATTACTACATTTATTTCCTCATCAAATTCATCAAAAATGTTATCCAAACTCTTTTTCCCCTATATATTATTTATCAATTTTTATTCCATTTGTATGTATTTATTATTCCACGTATTTATTATTAAAATTCATTAAATTTTTTTGTTTTCAATTAACTGCACCTTAATTACGTTCAATTCAATTTCATCAAATGCGTATATTTAAATTTCAATCAAATTAAATTTGTTTTTCATCAATAATTTTTATATTACTTAATTATTGATTGACTCTATTTAATTTAAAATAATATTTTTCTCTTTCAATTGTAATTATAATTCATTTTTTATGTCAAGAGAATTCTTTAGATTTCACTTATTCCATAAAAAAAAGTAGAGAAATGTTCGATCGATATCAATTTAGTTGTCAAAGTTGAACCTTAATGAAAAAATAACTAGAGCATAATTACGATTCTAGTGCGTCTTTGATACCCAACCACCACGGGCTAATACTTTTTTTCATAATTAAAAAAAAGAGGTTGTACGAAATAAAAAATTAATTTTTAATTAAAATTTGCCATAGTATCTATCGCACCTGTGTTAATATTATTCAATAATAATTATTAATTTACAATAAAATTAATTATAATTATTATAATAATTATTAATTTACAATAAAATTAATTATAATTATTATAATAATTATTACAATTAATAATTCTAATATAATCTTTAATAATTGATAAGAATAATATATTAATATTAAAATTACCTATTATTATTATTATTATTATTATTATTATTATTAATTGTTTACTGAAAGGAACTAAAAATTATCTAAAAAGAATTAATTAATAGTAGAAAGTAATTAATTCTTACTAGAAACTATCTAATAATTAATCAATTCTGAGCTGACTTTTTGCTTCAGCAATTAGTTAAAAATAACTAATTAGTAACAGAAACTAGTAGATAATAAATTTGTAGAAAATAATAAAATATTAGTCAATTCTAGACTGACTTCAAAAGCTAGTAAAAAATAACTAATTAGTAGCAGAAAGTAATTATTAGTAGAAAATAACTAATTATTAATCAATTATGTCTGGCTTTTTACTTATACAGTTACTAACTGTTTATTATAAAATTAGTTCTTTCCAACCAATTTAAATTTAATAATAAAATAACAAAAATTTATCAAAAATCTAATTAAGCTAAAACAATAGTTTTAGCAAAAAAAAAATTTGGATTTTGCTACTTTAGTAAATTAATTTCACGAGAAAATGTAATGGAGTCTCTCTAAAAGTAATTTTGAAAGAAGAAAAGAATAACGCTGAATGTGCTACTGATTCAAGTTAACTGAGCGTACGATAAATAATCATTAAGATCAAATTAGCGACATTCATCGCATTTTTTTTCTCCTCTTCGTTTTGCTTTACTCTCCAGTAAACGTTGATTTAAATCAGCAGCATACTTGGTGCGTTGATTTATATACGTTCACTGTAAAGAAAAAAAAAAAATTCATTCGCACTTGATTAAGTCCAAAGAGAATAATTTTTTCCCTTTTTTCTTGAATTTCAGGCAGGCGTGATGCGACAGCCGAGAGCTTAAGGGTTCACAGCCACCAAAATGGGACGCATGAGAGGACCCCTGCTTTTACCTAGGACCATGGCGGACTTATCGTTTCTACTGGTAATCTTGCTATTGCCAATCACTCGATCGGAATCGGCTGTGGGTCCCGTGAACAATGAATTGGATCTCGTTCCCGGTGTGATCTCGCCTCAGTCCTCCTCCTCATCATCATCCGCCTCATCATCCTCGTCATCGTCATCAGTCGTTGGAATAATACCTGGCAATGGAGCGAACCCAGGTAATTTGGGATCCGCGTCAATTGGCGGCGGAAGTGGACCGGGACACTCGATGATTGGCGGTCATCCAGGAAATGGAGGCAATCACGGACTCGGCAGATGTGAAGAAATCACCATTCCCATGTGCAGGGGAATTGGCTACAACTACACGGCAATGCCGAATGAATTGAATCACGACACACAGGAGGAGGCTGGATTGGAGGTTCATCAATTTTGGCCCCTTGTGGAAATTAAATGTTCGCCGGATTTGAAATTTTTCCTCTGCTCCATGTACACGCCGATTTGCCTGCCGGAGTACAATAAACCGCTGCCGGCTTGTCGGAGTGTTTGTGAGAGGGCGCGAACCGGTTGCGCTCCGCTGATGCAGCAGTACGGCTTCTCTTGGCCCGAGCGAATGGCCTGCGAGAGATTGCCCATGCAGGGCGATCAGGATAATTTGTGTATGGACCAGGACAATAGGACGAGTACTTCGGAGCAAGGCGGTTCGGCAAGTCAACCGCCGTTGGCGCCCGCAGCTCCGCCCAGGCCCACGAGGCCATCGAAGACCACGCAACCACCCAAATGCAAACCTGGAAAGAATCAAAAAAACTGTCAAAATCCTCCGGGGGAAAGGGTAAGAGAGTGCGCGTGCAGATGCAGAGCACCACTCGTCTACAATCCCCTGGGGGCAGCGGGGGCAAACCCTGCATTCCATGGGACAGGAGCCACCGCCGCCAAAATTCCCTGGTCGGGTCTGGTGCCCGTTCACAATCAAGACATTGTAGGAATTCCAGATTGTTACATTCCGTGTCACGGGGCGTTCCTCACGACGGAGGAAAGGGGATTCGCGGCCGTCTGGCTGGCTGTGTGGAGCGGCCTCTGCGCGGCAAGCACCCTCACCACCATAACCACTTTTCTGATTGACACCCATCGCTTCAAGTATCCGGAGAGGCCGATTGTCTTCCTCTCGGCCTGCTACTTCATCGTGTCCCTCGGCTATCTCACCAGGAGTTATCTTGGCCACGAGGAGATTGCCTGCGATGGACCGGTACTTCGCTCCGGGGCTCAGGGTCCTGGAATGTGCGTCACAGTATTTCTGATGATCTACTTCTTCGGGATGGCATCGTCAGTCTGGTGGGTTATTCTCGCCTTCACTTGGTTCCTGGCGGCGGGACTCAAATGGGGAAATGAGGCGATTGCCTCCTACTCGCAGTACTTCCACCTCGCGGCCTGGTTGGCCCCGACAGCCCAGACCGTCTGGGCCCTGCTGGCCGGAGGAGTCGCTGGCGACCCAATCGCCGGAGTGTGCACCGTCGCCCCAGAGGGTGTCACCACGTTCATTCTGGCTCCACTTCTAGTCTACCTTCTCCTGGGAACGAGCTTCCTCCTCGCGGGTTTCGTCAGTCTCTTCAGAATCCGCTCGGTAATCAAGCGTCAGCCGGGCGCCAAGGCGAACAAACTGGAGAAACTGATGATCCGCATTGGCGTCTTCTCGGTGTTGTACACCGTTCCAGCGAGCGCGGTCCTCGCCTGCCATCTCTACGAGTCGACAATGAGGAACGATTGGCTGGAGTCGTTGGCCTGCCCGTGCCATCGTCGAATTAGGCCCATGTACTCAATTCTGATGCTCAAGTACTTCATGGCTCTGGCGGTGGGCATAACTTCCGGCGTTTGGATTTGGAGTGGCAAGACTTTGGACTCTTGGCGAAGACGATGGCGACGAGTGTTCGGCGATGGGGTCGGAGTCGGCGCTGGTGGAATCAGTGGTGTCACGGGTGTCAGTGGTCTTGGTAATGTGTCAGGCGTGAAGGGAATGGTCGGCCGCCCCTCAGCTCCACACTATCCACCGCCTCCAGGTCCAGGAAGTGCTCTCCTCCCCCCAGGCAGCGTTGCCAGCGCCTCTCAACATCATCTCCATCATCATGTCTTCAAGCAACAGCCCCTCTCACACGTATGACGTCACCAGTCGGCGGGAGGGGACATGAGCACCGCAGGCTGTGAATCACAGCAACAAGAAAGACCCTCTGCTCTGAGCAACTACGGGCCCATTTAGCCCTTCGCGTCGGCCTCCCGAAGGCATACTCCGCACACCGCTCCGCACACGCCACATTCGGCAGCCACAATTTACTCCAGGAGATCACTTGCCTCAACAGGACCCCTCACACCTGCTCATGGACTCGCTCCGTCATACACTCAAGCCACAGAAGTGTAGACTCCTGATTAAAATCGTGTCCCTTTTTCGAATGTTCCCTTTTGCTTGCACCAAAACATCCAACTTCTGTAAATACATCCAAAAATAAATAAATCCCTTCTTTTTTACGTAAGTTTCATTATTCTGACGCTGAACACCAATTTTTGGAAAATAAAACCTGACGATATAAAAAAAAACACTTGAATTTTAGTGCCTAAATTAATTCACGAATTTACAGCCAAAGAAATAATGACTCTTACATAATGTTTGTTCTCTAACAATATTAATATATATAAGCAGCAATTATTAGAATGTAGAAAACACTGAAAAAGCAACGAAATGGGAACATTCCAAAACGGAAGGCGAATGAGAAAAAAAAACGCACACACCTCTTTAATGGGAGTTTGTGAAAAAAGCTCTTCTGAAAGACTCATCAGATAATGTTCGTGGTGTCTCGGACTTTGCTGAAGCGTCTTGTACCCGATATACGTATTGTAAAGCGCGTGATAAGAAAAAAAAAGAATATAAACACACGGAACCTCTCTCTCTCTATCTCTCTTTCAAGAGGCGGGAATTTCAAATCGTTAACGAAGAGTCGATGGAAATACCGTTCTCTTCTCTCTGAACCGGATGACCTTTGAGAATATAGCCAAAGTCGAAGGCAGACGTGTATATCCAAGAAATACGAGAGAGGTCTTGGTGTCGCGCGTGTGATTGTGATTTAGTATGAGTGAATGCTGTTGTTGTAATTTTTTTTTTCTTTTTTCTTTTTTTTTAATTGAATGTGTGTGGGAGTATAAAGTACGTGAAAAATCCTTCTCTGTCTCTCTTTTTACTCTATTTAGTCTCTCTGCACTCCTTCGGACATCGCACGGTCCGCTTGTCCGTCTAATGTGTATTGTCTTGTCTACATGTCACTCAGCGCCGAGTCAGTTGATGGAAAATACGACGATTTTACGAATGACAATTCCCAGTGTGTCGTTTATTTATAATAATTAATTCATGCAAATTACTCTCATTTGAATGGGATTTCAACGTTTGTCAATATTGAAAAAAAGAAGAGGAAAGAGAAAAAGAAAAAAAAAACTATTTTTCAGTGGACCAAAAATAATATTTTTTAAGTATTCAAAAATCAGTTCCGATTGTACTGATGATTGTGAATGGAATGTTATTCATATTTCTAGAATATTTCGTTTAAATATTGGGAATATTTCGTTAAAATGTTCAATTCTATTTCGGCAGTATTGCTTCGTAATATTCCATACACTTTTTAGGGATATTCCTCTAAATTATTCTATTTATTTTCTGGAATATTCCTTCAAAATATTCCATCCATATTTCAGAAATAATTTGTCAGAATATTCCATCAATATATTGCAGCAATTTTTTATCAATATTCCTTTAAAATATTCCATCAATTTTTTAAGAATATTCCTTCAGAATATTCCATCAATATATAGCAGCAATTTTTTAGCAATATTCCTTAAAAATATTTCGGGGATTTTTTCAGAAATATTCCTTCAGAATATTCCATCGTTTTTTTTAGGAATAACATTAAAAATATTTAATTGGAAGATTAAAGAAATATTTTATTACAATTTTATTAGATATTTCATTAGAAAATTTTTAAATAATAAAAATATTTAATTGAAATATTCATTCAATACTCGAATTAAATATTTTTAAATAAAGCAAATATTTAATTGGAATAATATAAACATATTTTTTTGAAAAACTGTAAAAATATTTCAATGAAAGAATTGTTAAAATATTTTATTGGAAAACTAATAATATTCCATTTAAATATTGGAGCAATATTTTGTTTGAATATTCCATGAAAATATTATTAGAATATTAATACAGAGAATATTACTTTCTAGAGTCCGAAAGTTTATATTTGAAAAGAAATTGATTTTTTACAAAATGAATAGAAATAATTAGGAAATCGTGTCAATATTAATAAACATAATAAATATTTCTTGTAAAATTCTAAAAAAAAAAATATTCCAAAAATATTTTTAAAATATTTTTCTTCTCTTCTTCTCTGTAATATAAAAAAAAATAATTCAAATTCTTTTGAAAAGAAAAGAAAAAAAAGTAAATTTTAATATTTCTGAAATGTAGACAGAAATATTCTTAATTTTCCAATGGAATATTCCAAGAATGTCAAATGAAATATTCCTGTTCTATTCGGGACTGATAATTTTATAGTTATTTAGATGTAATTAGAGATTTTTTATATTTTTTTATAATTTTTTAGTCATTTTTTTATTTTTTTATTATTATTTTTATTCAGAGTTCTATTGTGAAGAATTCTTTTCCCGAATTCTAAAAATTTTTAATTAGCTTTAAATTTCTTTTTAAATGCGAAAAATGCAAATTTTTGCCAAAAGAAAAGTATGGAAAATATGTTTTTCATACGAGACGAAAAAATAAATATTTTTCCTAGATGAAAATAAATTAAAACCTGAAAAAAAATTATTCTCGACAAACGTTGAAAGCAAATTAAAATGAAGATACTACAAAAGAAAAGAAATTAAAAAATATAAATAAAAATATTTAAAAAATAAATAAAAAAGTAAAGAAATAAAAAATACTGCAAAGAAAAGAAATTAAGAAAAAGTCGTAATTTTCACTGAAAAATCAACTCTCTCAGCACGAGAAAATTTCTATTTATCTAGTTTTAGCAATCGATATAATTAATTAAAAAAAAATTGCTGATCAATTTCGCAAGTCGCCTGCTTTTTTCGAAGACAGATTTTTGAAAAATAGATTTTTAGATTTTTAGTAATAGAAAGATAAAAAAAAAAATAACAAAAAGTGTAATGAAAATCTGCAAAAAAAAAAAAATTTCATCGAAAGAAGCTCGCGAAAATTGATCAACTATTTTGAAGGAGAGGGTGTATAGGCTAACTTTGTAAAGAGGATAAACAAAAAAATTGTAAATATTTCACCTCTATTGAACAATGTTCTGTTGTAAATAAATAATATAACTTCGGTCATATTTGTAGATGGTAGTGTGTACAAAAAAAAAAATTGCCTGCAAAAATCGCGCAGGCAACAAATTTTATTTGAGATCTCGAAAATCTTATTTGTCACGAGCGGAAGTGATCCGAAGCGTCCAAAGAGTGTACAGAGAGGAACGCGTCAGACAAAAAAATAAATTTTCAAAATATATATATATATATATATATATATATATATATATAATATACATTTATAAATACGATAGTCAAAAAATCCTTTTTCTACTGTTTAGAAGATAAAGAAAAAATGTGTCGTCCTTTCATATTGTGTTGACTTTGAAGTCCTTTTTTTATAAACCAGACATTCACATAAATATATATAAAAATACACAAATAATGTCGTTGTACTTTACTGTAAGTTCACTACTTCGACCAACAAACTCGTCTGACTCGTAATTTCTCGAAAAAGAAATTAAAAACGAAAACTTGACTTTTCAAAATGGAGAAATTAAGGATTTTTTTTTCTCTATGATAAAGAAATAATTTTTTTTGTTATTGTTTTATTTTATAGTCCATAAATGTTTAATGATCTGGATGCGACTTGAAGTAGATTCTTAAACAACGCGGTTAAAGATACATAATTATATATTATAGATAAATATAAAAAAATATATATATATATTATATATATATAAATGTGCGAAACTAGAAGAGTAATAGCGCGTTATCTTTCAAAATTTCTTTAAAAAAAAAAAAAAAAAAATGCGAACAAAAAACAGTATTTTATTGCGCGCTGTTCTGTTTCGAGGTGCAGTGTACAAAAAAAAACAAAAATTTGTACACATGATGAGAGAAATTGTCAAAAGACTCGAAAAAAAAACTGCCTCAAGCAACTTTTTTTAGCCGTCTTAGGTAAATTTGAGACGGTCCCTCTGCCAAACAGACGTACACATAAATAAAAATTTAAGGTAGCAAGAGTAAAAGAAGTTAGTTTCACATATCACGTATAAAGAAAAAAATGAAAGAACAGTTTAAAAAAAACAAAAAAAGGTAAACGATCGGTCGTTACGGAAAAAATAGTAACAAAAAAACGAACTTTAACGTATGACGTATAAAGTGCATCGAATCGTTTCTGCGCATTTAAATTAAGGAGTACACGGTAATTTAAATTCTAATAGCGGAAGGACGCAACTTCGAGAAACGAGGGAAAACCAATTTTTTTCAGAAAAAAAAAAAAAAAAAAAATATGACTCAATTTGTATCGATGAATTTTTTGTCAGGAATGTTTGTCAATAAAAAGAAGACTACACACGAAAAATAAGAGTGAAAATCATTTGCAAAAAAATTTTGTATATTTTGCTATACTTTTACTATATTTTTATCTCTATTTTAGAATTAATTCATCTAATTTATTGCTTAATTAATTTGTTAGTTAATTAATTAATTAGTCACTTTCCTAATTAATTTGTTAGTTAATTAATTAGTTAGTTACTTAATTAATTTGTTAGTAAATTAATAAGTTACTTACTTAATTAATTAATTACTGCAAGAATTGATTCATTAGTTAAATAATTAATTAATTGTAATTAAATTTTCTTTTGCGCTTTGTCCTTTTTTTGTGTCTTTTTTTCCATTTCTTTTAAATGAATAATAAAATTTTTTAAGAACTGTGGTGCAAAGGTATATCGCATGTCTCTCTCTCTCTGTCTCTTTTTTGCTGGAGCTTTCCCTCGTCTCGCTTTTACGTTTTTTCGCGAGGTTGATCGATGGTCTCAAGACTGCCTGGTGTTTCCAAAGACAGTCGTCTTTTTGTAATAATATAATTTATGTTGCCATAGCCTTAAAAGTAATTGTTCGTCGACCACGTTCGAGAATCAAAATTGTATACGATTTTTAATACACTTTATTATTATTTATCTTCAATCGCTATTTTTTTCCTTAAATCAACACCTTTCATCAAGTTTAATCCCACTCCCTTTTTGTAACGCTTGGATATTTTTTTTCAATTCTATAATTTTACAGCTGATAGATTTTTAAAGACAATATTACCTATAGAAAATAAAGCAGAATGTTTAGTTGTGGTAGAATTAATATTTTTTTATAAGAAAATTTTTTTTTTTTTTTGAAAAATATCTTTTTTGTTTTTAATACAAAAAGCTTCTTTATTAAAAAAAAAAGCTTTTTTACTTTTAATAAAAAGGATTATTTATTTTTAATAAAAAGAATTTTTTATTTTTTTAAAAAGGGCTTTTTTAATTTCAAAAAAAAGAATTTTTTATTATTTAAAAGAAGTTTTTTTACTTTCAATAAAAAGGATTTTTTATTTTTTTTAAAAGAGCTTTTTTTATTTTTAAAAACAGCTTTTTCGTTTTCAATAAAAAACTACTTTTTGAAAAATAGCTTT